TAGTTAAACCCTCACAGGTCAGGCTTAGTTAAACCCTCACAGGTCAGGCTTAGTTAAACCCTCACAGGTCAGGCTTAGTTAAACCCTCACAGCTTCAACCCTGAATCATTATATTTAAAGTAGAAATGACCGTTTTTATCAGAATCCAAAGATATTTTGTCGTCACCTCTTAAGGTTTAGGAGAAAAAAATATCTGAATATGACACAAAGACATAAACTGGATACTGAATTTAAGGTAGTTTGACTTGGTGTATTTTACAAATTCTGCAGTAAAAGTATAAAATCTTTATTCTAGTTATAGTACAAGTGACTCTTTAATATAAAAATGTGTTTGTTGTCACCTCTGTATAAATTGTAGAAAATGACCAAAGAACCCAGAAGTGTAGTTATAATGTGTTCAGACTTGTGAAAGTCAAAATTATAATAAATATAAATATTCCTGATTAGGTATATTGATGTAAAAACTAAAAATATGTCATAAATAAACACTGGACATGAACATGTTTCGTGTTTCGTTCTGTTTCCTTGTTCTCACCTGTAGCAGAACGTCTCATGCTCTTACCGTAATGCACCGTAGATAAGTGCAACATATTTTTATAGTGAGTCAGTTTCCGATGGTGTGACTGCATGTTTCCCACAATCGGCTCATTAGACCGGTCACAAAGGTCAGGCTTCAGGGTCTCATTTATCAACCTGGTTTAATATATCAAACTGATTTAATGTATCAAACTGGTTTAATGTATCAAACTGATTTAATGTATCAAACAGGTTTAATATATCCAACAGGTTTAATGTATCAAACTACTGGTTTAATATATCAAACTGATTTAATATATCAAACTGATTTAATATATCAAACAGGTTTAATATATCAAACTGATTTAATATATCAAACAGGTTTAATATATCAAACTGATTTAATGTATCAAACTGGTTTAATATATCCAACTGATTTAATATATCAAACTGATTTAATGTATCAAACTGGTTTAATATATCAAACTGGTTTAATATATCCAACTGGTTTAATGTATCAAACTGGTTTAATATATCAAACTGATTTAATATATCCAACTGGTTTAATATATCAAACTGATTTAATGTATCAAACTGGTTTAATATATCAAACTGGTTTAATGTATCCAACTGATTTAATGTATCCAACTGATTTAATGTATCCAACTGATTTAATGTATCCAACTGGTATGGTGTATCAAACTGGTTTAGTATATCAAACTGGTTTAATGTATCCAACTGATTTAATATATCCAACTGATTTAATATATCCAACTGATTTAATATATCCAACTGGTTTAATGTATCAAACTGGTTTAATGTATCAAACTGGTTTAATGTATCAAACTGGTTTAATGTATCAAACTGGTTTAATGTATCAAACTGGTTTAATATATCAAACTGGTTTAATG